GTGGGATTAACATAACTCAAGAACCACTGGACGAATTGACACCAAATTTGGACACAAGACACCTAACAACCCAATGTATGTCCTTCAGTTGTAGTTGCTGAGATGTATAGTTCACCTACAATCTAACATTCTGAACCCCACCAATGATGGAATTGAACCAAACTTGGCACACTGTTCTCCCATGACCAACAGAAAATACTGCAAGTGTTTGTTGGGCAGTGTCCTTTGGTTTTGGAGTTGTAGTTCACCTACATCCAGACATCGCTGTGGACTCAAACAATGATGGATCTGGACCAAACTCTACACAAATACTCAATATGCCCAAATGTGAATACTGGTGGAGTTTAGGGAAAATAGAATCTTGACATTTGGGAGTTGTAGTTGCTGGGATTTATAGTTCACCTACAATCACAGAGCATTCTGAACCCCACCAACGATAGAATTGGGCCAAACCTCCCACACAGAACCCCCATGTGGGCCACAGCAACGCGTGGCAGAGGATGGCTAGTAATATATAAATAAGCAAATATTCAATTCTCTGATTGCCATTGTATTCATATTTAACAATAACTTTAGTCTTTTTCTACTAGCATTGATTTTTCTAAACAGCCACTGATCTTGATGCCTAACCTTCCCTCTCTCCAATAATTTTTCCTGCTTGTAATTTTGGAGATAGTCAGGGAAGCCACTGAAGTTAAATGAGAAGAATTAAAGGAAGGAGTTGGGCATGCAGTTTCTTTTTAACTTAATTTAAATATTAAATTCAATTTTAATCTAACATTTTTAAAACAAACTTGCACACTGCACAGAACTATAATAGTATCTTGTGGGCAGATAGAGTAATGAAAGAGCAGGATGATAAAGGGCCAAGTAGAAAAGGGAGTCTCAAAAATAAATAAACCTTTTTGTGTTGATGGTGGCTCTTTTTTCCCTTAAGGAAAAAGAAAGAAAAGAAATATTTCCAAATGGTAATATATGTAGGTAATCTTTTTTAGGAGTTCTGTGCGTTGTGAATGAGACTGGCAGGAAACCCAGCAGTCCAGGTCATAGTTCTGCTCTCCAACTTTGTGATTTGCTAATGTGAAACACATGCATTGCTTTTGCACAAAGTTCAAATAACCCTGGAATTCCAGTGGTGTAGCACAGCAACTGAACCAGAACAAGGGCAGAACTTGTCAGGATTTAAGAGCTTTCAGCAAAACCCTTCAATTGCAGTCAGCACCCCATTCCTTAGAAGGATATCAATTATAGATAGTGAGTTGCTTTAGCAAAGGGAGTCAGCGCTGTCAGACACTAGATAGACAACCATGAAGAATCATGAATCTTTCTATTAACTGTAAAGGAGAGGGAGGCTGGTGGCAGGGGCGGAGGTGGAGGTAGAGGAAAAGTATAGATAGGCACTATAAATAAGACAGACCATCTGAATAGTTTAACACATTGCCTCTTACAGCACACATCATGAAAGTTTTAACAGAGCTAAATCCTAAATGGCATACACATTTAAAAGTAAACCTTAACAGTGGAAAAATGGCTACCGTGTCAAAGTCTTCCAGGTGGACTGATTGTTCCTGTGTGGCTTTGCGTGTTTATGTAATTCAATTTCTTATAGAAAGGGATGGTTTCAGTATCAATATAGCAGGAAATGATAAATGTCAGCAACGTCAGACATTTTTTGACTTAGGAGGCAAAACAACGGAAAAAAATACCATTCTGCTTCTGACTGGATGTTCAATGTCAATATTCCAATCTTAGAAAATATGAATTGTAACATAACATGAAATGGTTCTGAAATATTATATGAGTGACCAAGAAACTCCAGAGTTTATACTACTGGCATTGCAGTCTGTGGTAGGACAGAAGTTTGTACAATCCAATTATGCATCAATCCATAAAATACTAAAGCATTTCATCTTTTGAGAAACTTTCATGCATATGAGTTATGTGATCTCTCACAGTCTCTTTGCATACTGCAGGAGAGCACTTAGGGGGATAACTGCATTTTCAGGGAGCATCCCATTAAACCTATCCATGGCCCAGGAGAAGAGTGGTGTGTTAGTATATGGTTTTTACATGGAATGAAATATTGCTAATAGTTTAAACTGTGTGATGTAGTAATGCAAGAGTTAATGCATAGAGTTGTGATGCATTACCAGAGCGTAACTTTGGAAAGTTCCTTTGTAAGGTGGAAATGAAGAACTGACAAGACTGGAATGTGCTTCTTGCAATGTGTGCAGATGAAAATGGACATGAGTTATTGTGCTCTTCTGTAAATAGTAGATATCGGAATAAAGTTAAGTGCCACTTCGGTTTTTGAAGCAGAATTCAAGGAGTCCGGCTGCGTTATTATTAAATTTGTGTCTTTGAGCAGACACTTGAGAGGTCAAGGAATACTGAGATAAGAGGAGCAATTTATCTCAATAAAATCAACATGATGGTAGGAAATACATCTTCTACTGTATTATTATGTTTCATATTAAAGAATCAGTAAGTTTTTACAGAATAGTTTGCAAAACTACAGGCTCAAGTAGTTACTGTTTCAATAAAATTATTATCATCTCTACCACCAATTTTGAAAGAGCGGCAGTATACTTGCTTTTTAATATCTATATTTTAAACCATTTTAAATTTTATTCATAGTGGAACTATATTCTCTTTTGCTTCAAGAAAAGACAAGAACCTATAGGATCCAATAATACTCAGTGGTTTTTAAAGTATGCTACTAAGGGGCTCCGTGCTTACCTGATCCTCTCCCCCCTCCCCGCCCTCTAGCCGCCCAAAGCCTTTTCCCCACCTCCCTTACTGCCAAAAGGCTTTTTTCCTCATCACCCTTGCTGCCAAAAGCCATTTTGCTTGCCTTCCTTTCTGCTAAAAGCCCTTTTCCATTTCTCACCACTGAGATCCTTTCCCCCTTGTCTTGCTTGCTTCCAAAACCTTATTTCCCTTCCACCGCTCAGGGGGTGCTTTGATTATGCTTTTCCTGCATGGCAGAAGGGAGCTGAACTGGATGGCCCTGGGGTTTCTATTATTATTATTATTATTATTATTATTATTATTATTATTATTATTATTATTATTAAGGCTGAGTGGCCATCTGTTGGAGATTCCTTGATTGTGTAATTGTGCTTTTCCTGCATGGCAAAAGGTTGTTAGACTGGATAGCCCCTGGGGTCTTCCACTAAAATACTGTTAAGTTTATGTTGGGTAAATTGTTCTTCATTTTAAATATTGTATTGTTCTTGCTTTCCTTTTTTGCACTACAAACAAGAAATATGCAGTGTGCATTTTTTTTCAGTTAGTTTGCACATGCATTCTCCATCCATCTGCCACTGGCTTAGCCCACCTGTGAAATTTTAAAACACAATGTGATAAAATGTGCACCCATGCCTGATATATATACATTATATAATATATAATATATAATATACTCTATAGACATTTCTTGGGGCTCCAAGAGAAACTTTTGCTTCAAAAAGGCCTCCATGGCCCAAAACGTTTGACAACCCCTGATCTATATACTCAATATTTAGACAAATAATCAACCCAAAACAACTGGGTCAGTTGCCTTTGGCTATCTAGACAAATGGCTGGGTTGAAAACACATTGAGGCTGCTGCTTGCTGTTTCACTGATGAGAACTAGCTCCCTGGTGGAGCTTTGCTGGTGATGTTGCTCCTGATGTGGTCATCATATGGTGCTCAGTCATGTAACCAGCAGAAGTGCCATCGCCAGAAAGGCTCTGATGGGGAGCTGCTTCTAGCTGGTGAAACAGTGGTGCATCTGTTGTATGTGTGGACATTGAATTGAGCTGGATTCACCTGTCTACTCCCTCAAAACAGTGGGTGTGGTCTGAAGCTCCCCTTGCATAGGATTAACAGCCAGAAGCAGCACTTCTGCTGCAAGATAAGCCATATATCATGGGGATCTTATACAACAATTGCAAGGTATCCACTTTATTTGCCCCTGAGTTGGACTTGATCAAATTCACTCTTAATTTTTATTTCTTTAAATAAACAAAAATAGTTTTAAATAAACAACAATTACATATTTTAAAAATGTTTATGCCCCTCTTTACTCCCAAAAACGTTTCAAAGTAGTTGCAGATTGCTATCAATATGACAAAGATTGTACAGTACTTTATGATTCTGTTGCTTCAATCCTAGGCAAAGATCAGCCTACATTGAAGGTTTTGACAAATTAATCCTGAGAAAATACAGTAGATCAAATCAGGTGACCAAAGGCAGTGGTCAACATTGACTTGCATGGATCCCCAAAGGAAGAAAATTATATTGAAATATGCTGATAATTCATCCTGTTAGTCAACTTACTGTATAAACATCCCCGATCACCTAAGTTTGAATGTCCATTGTAAAATATGTACTGTAAGACATGCAAGGAAAACAGGAAGCATATGTTCCATTAATAACTAGTTTAAGTTGATAGTATCTCCTTCCCTGTCAGTAATGCTCTACAATTTTGCCTTTATTCATGGGAATTGTAGTATTACAATGTCTTCTCATTCCGCAAGTAATCCGCTTCATCTTATACCCACAACAGAAAATTGATACATAACACACACCACAAATCCTTTAAGGCTGAGGGGGGAAATTTCTCTGTCTCCCTTTTCTATTGTTACAGTCCTGTCTGAAAGCAGTGAAGGGAAATCATACTTGGCAAGAGGTTAATAATAACTCATGTCCGGCTTACTATTACTCAATAACTATCAAAGCCTCTGATTCAAAATAGTATTTTGTGGCTTACAGGATCAGAGCCATTACACTCTCTATTGAAGACTTTATTGAATTTTACACTAAGCTTTAGCTGACTGAACAGGTCAAACACTGTAGCTCAGAGTTTTGCTTTATTCGCAAAAACTCATAAACCTCTCTCCAGTCTGCAGTGCTGTTTGCAAAGAAACTTGACTCAGCAGAGGGTCAAAGAACCTGACCCTCCAGAAAAGGTCACAAAGGTTTCAAACCAGGCTCCTGAATGCCATTAACTTACATGCACTAGCTGTTCCTGCGTGTCGAACTCCCGTGAACAGCCTTCCCAATGGCAGTTTGTCTCATAGACCACTTCAGGCTCTTGCTTGCTTTCATCTTTGTCCCCTTCCTCTTTTACTAAGGTCATTCCTTCTGGTGGTTCCTGGATGAGGGTTAAAAAGGGGGGTGAGTATGAATGCATAGAAAAGAAGAGAAAAAGCCACTTTGCTGCAAAATTAGCAGGAAAAGTGTGGGGAGTCAATATTTTATCAGCCCATTCTAGGTGTTTAGGTAAAATACAAAAATGCACAGTTAAACATGTAACACAAAGAAAAAAATATGATGGAATTTGGAGACCTCTTTCCATATTGGGAAATATGGGAAAATCCTCTTGGGAAAATCTTATGGCTGTCTTTGTTTTGCATAGGCTTCCAGTATCTAACTTTTAACTCCTATTTTTTATGTGTGTAAGTCACACTTTCTGACTTCTGAAATGAGGGTGACAAAAGTTCATTACAGAATAGTTTTGGAAATGCTGTTACTCAGTCAAAGACAGATGGAAACAGCAGGCTTCATACCTAAATGGCAGGGGTAACAGAACAGTGCTCTTTGGCCCCATCTGCACTACTGTTTAATGCAGTTAGGGGGTTCATTATCATGAAGTGTCTAAACGATCCTGCATATGAGGAATTGTGATCAACAATAATCAACTAAAAGCAAGTGCTGTCCAAGTAGCATGGAGCTCAATAAGCTATTCTGAATTGAATTCCACCCTAACCCTAACCCTCACCCACTGCATTTCACCCATCAGGGGTTTGCAATCCTTCCTCAGTAGGTGTTCATGTAATCATGAGTGACCAACCCGACCATCCCTATTTATAGAACTTCCAACCCCTCCTCCTGTCTTATTTGGCAGAGAGTTGCTAAACCTGGGTGAGCCAATTGTGCCAAAACTGCATGCTCAATAATAATGCCTCCAATGGTACCAGAACTGAAAACCTCCCATCATAACTTGGCTAGATCTACATAAGGAGGACATTCAAACAGCTCTCAAGATAACTATGGTTTTACAAGTAATATCCATTGCTTCAAATAATCAGCAGTTTGAACCTGAAAACTCCGATGCTGAGCACATTACATTAGTCCAATGTAATTAAGGTGTACACTACTATGACCAGGTCTGATATTCCAAGAACTGGCACAATTGGCTTACTAATCTTGGTGGTGGAAACACTTTTAGCCATTGCCATTTAAAGGTGGATTCAGGGGTACATTGAAACTACAATGATGGACATTTAAAGGGATATTAACCATGTCTAGCACTATTTGAATGTATATCCAAAATTTGTTTGGTTTTTTTTTAAGAAAAAAAGAAATTACCAGGGGCATTTCTGCATTAAGCTCTGATTAAGGATGGCTATGTGTTTGGGTCCAAAACTGCAAAACTCTGCTGATCATGGCAAAGCAAACCATAGGTGCCTGTATTTAATTTTATTCATACCCTAGAGCGATGGGGAGTAAGTGCCCAAGCTACCAAAGGCCCAGAGAGAGCCAAAAACTGTTATCAAAAACTGCTGAAGGTTGATTAGACTGTGATCAACAATAATCAACTAAAAGCAAGTGCTAAGATCTAAGACAGAAAAGAATCTGTGGATGAGGACATTTTACCTGAACGCTTCCTACACCTGGGCTGGGGAGGTCGTCATCAGGTTTTATCTTGGAACGTTTGTTATGCATCGGGTCTCCTGTGCTGCTCACTGCAGATTCACTTGTGGGTTTATTCTGCTGCACATATTTATATCCCAAAAGATACAGTGAGATTGAGACTCAAGTACATTCCACTAAACACATGCAGACGCTTCTGAGCAACTTTATTTTGTCAGTCAAGTGTAAGTCACCTGCAGTTTATTGTCCGAGTTCATCTTTCTAAGACTAAAAAAGGCTTTCTAACTTTTCTTCTTCATTAGAGAAATCATAAAATGCAAGGCGAACCTATGTAAGACAATTTCTGGGTGCAATTTCAGTCTCTGAGTACAATTTAATGTCAGTACAATCACTGGAAATTTTGTCACTTCAGTGAGATATAAATTGACTTCCTTTATTCTAGCATATTACAGCTTCCTATACTCTTTGCTCAAACAGAAAGATCCAAATCTAAAATATTTATAGAGGATTGAAAACACTTTGTCAGTCTGAAGCCATGATATACTCTTAAGTAATTTATAATAAAAGATTGCATATACTGCAGCCCCAAGCTACTTGTTAACCAATCTGTTGAGTGGCTGGAGTGATTAATTGCTAACATGACAAAGTAGTTGGCTCTTTAAAAAATGAACTAACACAGTGTACAGCCAATGTTCCTTTACCTGTGTAGACTCCGATGGACCTGAACTCACTTGGACAGGATTCAAGATGCTAGGAATGCCAGGGATAGGCCTCTGGGTAGGAAAGGTTGGAGCAGGGTGAATGAGTGGAGGACTGTGTCCAAARGCTGAGCCCAAGCTTTGCTGGCGACTGATGATTTGTTGGTGCATCTGCTGGAGGGATACTGGCGTGGGAGGATATGTGAAACTCAGAGCTGGGCTGCATTATGAGTGAAATGGGAGAGAAGGGGGGGGGGAGGAAAAGTCAGTAAATCAGGAAAAAATACATGTGACATCCACATCTTTAAAATAAAGAAATTGAAATCATGTCCTCTTCTATGGTTTTAGGAGCATCAGAAGAACAGATACCATGATTTTGTGGGGTGGGAGTGGATGTATATGAGAGATACATGTGACCAAAAAAGAAATAAAACAAAAGAAAATAAGGAAAATGATAGTATTAGTTGTTCAAAACACCTCCATTGTGCACAACATTACAATATACATTAGCATACTATAAGCAACAGCAACACAGTGCCAAGAGGAAAAAGGCTCCATGTTAGTAGTAGGGGGGAAGTAGATAGCGTCATCGCTATTTGAGGAGGAAGACTGCCTACTCCATTGTATTAGTGAACCAATTGGATTTCCATAAATATGACTTCCGACACCTTGCTTTATGATGTTTAATAATATTTATTTCAAAACTGCTTCATGAGATAGGCCAGACACTGGAGACAGATTTCAAATGGTTGAGAAAACTAATGTGTCTGAAATTACACAGTAGCAAAGGTGAGATATAAAAATTTCTAATCAGCCACAATTATTACGTTTTGTTGTAAGCAACACTTAAACCAAAACTTCTTTGTTCAGACATTATGGAAATGATGCTTCAACAAACAATGATGTCTTTATTGACGCTAGAGACTTTTAGTCAATCCCAGGAGAAAAACAGCAGTTAAGACACAAGTAAAACCATAGAAGCAATAAATATTTTGAATTATACTAGGCCTTTATGAATGCCTGGGAGGGAAAATGGCAGCAGCAGAAGTCAGGGGTGGCTGGTCCACTGAGGCAATGCTGACACTTTCCCCTCTCCATGGAATGGCTCTCAACTACCCATAGGCCAAATCAAAATCCATAATTTTGCTCCCAAACCTGATGTCAACTTATCCACTCAACAAGTATATATGGTAATTTTCTGAGGCTACTTAGGCAAAAGAGTTGAATATTGTGGCCTAGAATTCTTACCAACTGTTGAAAGTACACTTATATTTAATTTATTCCACATTCACATGCACAGATCTCCCCATAAACATTATATATTTCCTCAGTTGCTTTAATGAATGTATATTATGGAACATCTTCTGTACTGGTCATAGTAATGTTCTAGTCCAAATTCCTGTTCACTCAGACATTTGAATAAAAAGAGATTTCCATTTTTTCTCCTCATTCCTCTTTTTTTTTAAGGATTTCACTGAAATGCAATGTTATTGAGTGGACATCTACTGACAAGAGCATAAATGAAACCAACAACACCAGATATTACAAGTCTAGATGATATCGAGACTGAAAATTCCTGTTTCTTAACAGCATAGCTATTTTGGATAGATATAGTAGTTAAAATAAAAAAAATATTATTATTTAGTTTAATCATTCATACTTTGAGGGAGGTTTTGAGTTTTTAAAGAAGGTATGCATAATAAGTACTCTCTAAAACAGGTATCCTCAAACTAAGGCCCAGGGGCTGGATACGGCCCTCCAATGTCATTTACCCAGCCCTCGCTCAGGGTCAACCTAAGTCTGAAATGACTTGAAAGCACACAACAACAACAACAACAACAACAATCCTATCTCATCAGCCAAAAGCAGGCCCGCACTTCCCATTGAAATACTAATAAATTTATATTTGTTAAAATTGTTCTTCATTGTAATTATTGTATTGTTTTTAAGTGTTTTTGCACTACAAATAAGATATGTTCAGTGTGCATAGGAATTCATTCATGTTTTTTTCTAATAATAATCTGGCCCTCCAACAGTTTGAGGGACTGTGACCTGGCCCTCTGTTTAAAAAGTTTGAGGACCCCTGCTCTAAAAGTTCCAAGACATATTCTACCAATGAAAATGGAAGCTGGTGACAGACTCCATTCCTCTATGTTTGATGAACAATAATGTCTAATGTGGTTTCATACTTTCACATTAAATGTTAGATGTGGACTACAAATTCTCATTAAGCTCACTGGTTACTCTTGAGCTAGTTACTATCTCCCAGCCTTGCTAACTTCATGCAATTGTTATGAAGGCATGGACTCAATGAGACATCTGCCCAAATTGCTTCAGACACTCACTTACCCTCAGTTCACCTAGAAAAAAGGTCAGCTGCAGACAAAGGGTTTTTCTAAGCAGTTTTATTGAGAAGTATGACATTTTGCTTGACAAAGAATTTCCTTAAAGTACAATGCAAAGTTTTTTTCTTTAAAAAAAGCAGATATGTGTCTTATTTTTGTTGTGTTTTATTTACAACTTTATTCTTAATCCCCTTGTTGTGATTGCTGTAAAGATAAAACAGGAAAACTGTGCCCTTTATGCCATTTTAAAAAATAAGAAATGTGTGATAAAAAATGTAAAAGTTCCTTTTTAAAAAGCCCAACAATCTTCTGACTTCACTGGAATCTATTTCACCACAAAAGGCGATTAGTAAACTTCTTTTTATGAGTTTTTATGCATATATAGAGTTTAAAAATGATAAAAAATATGTAATAGGCATGTTAGTTTATATGCTTTTTAATAAAGCAAAGACAGTAGTTATACCCACTTCATAATCTGGTTCCTGAGCAGGAAAGTATATGTGTGTGTGTGTGTCTGTGTGTGTGTGTGAAATCATTGTGTTCCATGATGAATGGCTCATACACTGTAGAATAAATTGAACAAACTGGCATAGAGCTCAGTGAACATGAAATCAGCTATTAGAAGAAAGCTTGTGAACAAATTCTGAAGCTGATATGCATCTTTTGATTAATGTCCTATCAATCATCCACAGAGGCTACCTTAGCTGATTCCTGCAGTAATCATTCATGGTCGCTTACAGGGAACACAAGCAAGGACTAAGGGGGCTGCAATAACTGAATATTATTACCAATATCTCACTAACTCTCGGTGTGAACAATTACTATTTGGGAAACCTCTCTGGCTCCTGTTACTAAAATGATGCAGTACAAACTGAAAAGGGATTCCCTCAAAAGATTATAAAAATTATCTCTTGTATTCTTTAATAGGCGAACTATTGTAATAGGGAGATCACCCCAAGAATAATGGAAACTTAAATTGCATTGCCATTCCTGCATCTCTTTGTGGACTATAGTAAAACTGACAAAATGTACAGTCAAGAGCTATAATTGTTCTTTAAAAAGGACTGGGATTCTTTCACCCATTTCATATTAATGTTTTCACCTAACGTACTTAACTGTAGCAATAATCGTACAATGGTAGACTTCAAATTTGCATTAAACCCACCATTGACATTACAATGCATTTTGATACCTTCAGAGACGATCTACATACATATTTTTAAAAGTAAATTGAAGATTGTATTCAGTGCACACTAAATTTTAAATTAAGTTATTAGCAAAGAATTCACAACAGTCTGTAAGACCTTTGATTACAAACAATTCATTTCTACCCTATACATCAGAAATAAATGGCTTCTCTGTGTCATTTTGTCATGGCATCATTCTTTAGACTGGAGAATACTCTGGAAAATACAATAGAGTAATGAAGTGATGACAGGTATTAGCATGCATAATAGGCTTTAATAGACATTTATTGTTGTTTAACTGGATGGGGGAGCATGCTCTTTCCCACTGGAATATTTCTACATTGGGGCTCATTGATCACTAATTTCAGTGGGGGAAAAGGTTAATCCATCAGTTTCTGCAACCACATAGCACTGATAGAAATTCTTTAGGTGACATTCTGGATGGTCTGGGCTTTCCATCTCTGCAAACAAATGAGTGATATGACAAGCATGGTGTTCAAAACACATTTAACCAATTGATTTTCTCTGTCTTGTAATAAGATCTAGAGACATATGAAAGAGTGGACCATGAGCCAAGATTAAAGAAATTGCTTCACACAGAGGAACATAACACAGCAACATTATCAATAAAAGTACTGTAAAACATGTCACCCATTCATTTTTCCGTATCTAAAGTTTGTTATTGCAATAAATACTCCTATTGGACAGTTTTCCTTTTCCTCCAGTATTTCCCTCAGTTTTAGTTTAGATAGGTTTTCAGTGCATTCTTAGAACATGCGTAGCAGACATTTTTTTGGTTGCAATTTCACATAAGGTTTGTGAAAATGGCTCAACTTGGTATAGAGCAAAAATGCATGGTCATACAGTTCTTCATATCCAAAGCACAATAAAATCAATCTCAAGAATAAATTAAATGCACAATTGAAAATAATGAATTGAAATAAGGAATGTGACACAATCAAAGTTCTCATTGGTTTTAGTAATTCTTTCTTTTTCTTCTTCTTCTTCTTTTTGTCGTATCAGGAGCAACTTGAGAAACTGCAAGTCGCTTCTGGTGTCAGAGAATTAGCCGTCTGCAAGGATGTTGCCCAGGGGACACCGGATGTTTTGATGTGTTACCATCCTTGTGGGAAGCTTCTCTCATGTCTCAGAATAAGGAGCTGGAGCTGATAGAGGGAGCTCATCCATGCCCTCCCCGGATTTGAACCTCGGACCTGTTGCTCTTCAGTCCTGCCGGTACAGGGGTTTAACCCACTGTGCCACGGGGGGCTCCAGTTATTGTAATGAAGGTTTCATCTTGGACAAACCAAGGAAGGCATCAAAGAGGCTGTTATTTGTTCCTGCCACCCACTGTCTAGAAGAAGCAGGGTCAAATGCTTTCAGTAAAAGAAAAAGCATTGCTAGTTCTGATCTTGCTGACTCTGGATAGAATTTGTTAGATGTGATTGGGACAGGGAAAGTGCCCTGTTCTAATGAGTGCTCATTTAGGAACGAATACACTGACATCTAAGGGATTCTCACTGTGGAAATACTGAATCTTATCAGACATTGGAAAAAAAATCTCCCATGGGCATGGCAAAGTGGAATCTCCATGGTACAAGCTTATATCAATAGTACTTTTTCTGCAAGTCCTGCATTTGGATAACTGAGAGATACATAGCCTATTCCCAGACAAGTGACTGTCCACG